TCCCAGCACAGCCTACATGGGTGAATATGACAGCTCACCAGCCCCACCTCCCAAATAATTCACATACTGTAGATCAGTGTGTCCCAACCCGGTCCTCAGGGACCCATGGACAGTCTATGTGTTTGCTCCCTCCAATTTCCTGCCAGACAGTCTATGTTTTTGCTCCCTCCAATTTCCTGCCAGACAGTCTATGTTTTTGCTCCCTCCAATTTCCTGCCAGACAGTTTATGTCTTTGCTCCCCTTAATTTTCCTGCCAGACAGTCTATGTTTTTGCTCCCTCCAATTTCCTGCCAGACAGTCCATGTTTTTGCTCCCTCCAATTTCCTGCCAGACAGTCCATGTTTTTGCTCCCTCCCTGCTCCCTGCTGTGACCTGTCTCTAGGTCCTCGGGGACCAAATTGAGAAACACTCCTGTAGATATCTTGGGGGAAGCTGCCAGCACACTCCCCTCATCCATTTTGGTTGTAATAACATCATTACTTATTAATGATGCTCTGTAGTTTAGGCACTATGAGCATGTCGGTCTCTCGCCAAGAGCCGCTAAGGTGAAGCGCATCATGCAGCTAAGTGAAGAAAGTGGTGGAATTTTGCCAGCATCTTGATGACACTGAGGTTTACGCGTGCTGATTGGCACCCTAACATCCAGGCACATAAGCTCATCCCAGAATCTCGTCCCGTTGGTGCAGAGCCCCAAGCACCACCCCTGCCCTGCACCAATGAGCCATGCATAAATTTATACGACAGGCGTCTCTTCTGTGTTTGCACTGTTGCTAATGATGTGCTGTGAGTTACTGACAGATGGAGATAGAACACATGACAGTGCAGGAATGCGAGGTGGGTAACGCTGGATGAAAGATTCCCAGAAATCGTCTCTGCAGCTGCTGAGGGCCAAGTAAAGAGAGACATTCCAACTAAGGTGTGGTGTTTCCATAGCAACTCCATCATTCCTGCTCCTCTCCATCCTTTAAGGAAATGTCACAGAAACTCTACCTACGGGTACAAAGACTTACTGCTGGCAGGAGCAAATAATGCAATGTGGCATAGACTAGCTGCTTAAAATAAGTAACAGATATGGGTCAAAGCAGAGGGGGGGTGGAGGTGTGTGACTGTGTGTTTTGCCAGGGTGTCTGTGTGTGTGTGTATGCATGAGTGTGTAAGAGTATATGTTCCATTTCAGCATGGTGTGTGTTTGTATTTATGTGTGTGTGCCGTTTCAGCAGGGAGTGTGTGTGTGTGTGTGTGAGAGAGAGTGTATGCTCCAATTCAGCAGGGCATGTGTGTGTGTGTGTGTGTGTGTGTGTATGGTCTGTTTCAGTGTGGCACATACATCTACAGTTTAACAGCATTGTGAGTCTGTTAATGATCCTTCACTCAGAGGGTGAGACAAACCACAGGATGTGCTGACAGACTGGTGAGCTCTGGCTGTAACAGGACCCGCCCCCCCAGCTTCTGACGCTCTGGGAGGCCTTCTCCTCCCAGGGACAAACACAACACAGCAGCCTCCACCAGCTCCCAGTGCGCAACCCGGCACCACGGCATTCTGGGAAAATACATCAGTTATGTGAAGTAATAAGATGCCTAAACTACAGAAAGAGCCTCGTTACCGCGTGAGAAGCTTGTTTTTCTTTTCCATTACTTATATTTTAAGGGTTGTTCTTCTTTTAAGATAAATGCCTTAGATATTGGATGTGGCTTTATGGAAAATCCAGAAATTACACCAGTTAATTGTACAGTCAGTGTGTTTTCCAGAAACAATAAACAAAGCATAAGAGGAAAACATTCTTAGGCTCTATGTCAGGGTTTAACCTTTGCACTTAGAACAAAACTCTTTGTGAATCTTGAGCCCCCAGCCGAAGACAGACTTATTCCATAAGAAATCAGGACCCGAGATCCAGCAGAAATAGCACCCCTTCAGACGGGCGTTTAATAGCCCAGACCGCAGCCAGAGAGAAGAGGGAGAGATTAATTTTAAATGTTTAATTTGTTGTCTGTTTAGCTCAGAAGATTAATGTTGGCTTCACCCCGGGACATTAAAAAAATGTTAGCTTGAGCTAAGAAATAATTAAGGGTTTAATCCCGGGTAATTTAATAAAGGGTCATTATTTCCTCGTAAAAGTGATTCCCAGGAGTCACAGGCTGTGATGGAGGGCCGATCCCTGTCCTCTCCATTGGGTGGCGACACAGACTCTGCCCCGAAAACTCAGACAGACGGATACCCTCTTCCATTACCTGTGAGAGCAGCGTTGGCTGAAGGCCATGTGGACACTGTCGTTCCTCCACCCCCCAGCTTCAACGCCATCCCCCCTCCCACCCCCAATCAGCATCATCACATAGCTGTTCTGTGTCGGCACCGCAATGAGCCTGAGTACTTCCAGGGGCGTCAGGAGCATGTCCCCCCTCCCCCCAGTAGGTGGCGCCCTAAGAAGCCCACTTATGTTACCTAATGAGTGCTGTGTCTGACACACATGTGGAACCAACGTAGCCAGGGGGTGGAAGCATTCAGCCCTTCATTCCCACAATGGCCATAAACCAATCAGCTGAGGTAGAATACAGTATTAGCCAATCGAGAAGGGAGGGGCTCAAAGACCCTCGTTTAATTTAGTGAGTGCATGGGGTATGACATTAACCAACGAGAGAGCAGGGGGGGTCTGTACCCCCCCGCTCGAGTCATTACGAAGCGTCTGGCTTTATCGGTGACTTACCCCAG